AATGGTTGTATGGAGTAATCATCGGCCCTTACCACATGATTTGCATTTAAAAAATATGAAATCATGACATCCTCATTGAGAAGAATAATTGCAAATTTTTGATATCTAGCTTGAGTACAAGCAAAGGTAATAACATACTATACTGTTTATGTGATCTATGAAAGAGGTTGAAAGAGACTAGACTTGAAAGATAAATTAAGAGATAAGACAAAAGTTACTAATATTAGAAATATTATTCCAAATCTAATCAAAGAGGTAGAATGGAAGGAAGCTATACATTGGAATGCTTATTTTAAGATAATTAGCAATTGATTGAAGGTGGATAATATAGACTATCAAGATTATAGTCTTAGTAATGGCTTATTCTATTTTAAGAGACAAATTTATATATCCAACAATGCTATACTTCAAATATGTATATTTCAAGAAGGACATGATATCCCTATATCTGGACATCTAAGGCAAGAAAAGACTCTAAAACAAATCTCAAGGACATGATTTTGGACAACTTTGGATTGTGATGTTTGAGCTTTTATGTACTTGTACAAGTGATATAAAAGTAATAAAACATGCAACGCAATGTCTTCTAGACTATTATAGCCAATTTTGCTACCTACAACATGTTGGAAGCAGGAAACTATAGATCTCATTACATGTTTGCTGCAGACACCTCATAATTATATTGCAGTTTCTGTCTTTAAAGATTGACTCTCAAAGCAACTTCTCTTGGTCATGCTGCACTTAGGTATTAATGCCCCAGTGCTTCCACGAGTCTTCTTTGATATTATCTTTTGTCACCATGGATTATTTTGTGTCATCATTTTAGATCAAGATCTACACTTCATGGTATCGAATTGTAAATGCTTATAGTATATAAAAATTAGTTAAAACATATTATATGTTAATAAATCTAAATGTATATTAGAGTAGTTAGTATATTAAATTAAAAGAAGTTGATATAAGAAACTTTACTTTGTTTTTCTTTTACTTGTTTTGATTTTGATATATATATATATATATATATATATATATAGGATCTAAATGTTTATTATGAAGCCTTGGAAGAAGGTGGAAGCCTAAGGATGAAAATCTAAACTAGTATGAGGCTAATTGGGAGGGATGAAAGTAAGGTAAGGTCGGATGAAGGTAAGGAATGGAGAACTTCATCCCTATTAGTCGAATACCATACCTAATAGGCTCTCAGGAGGCTGCCTGCAATCTTAACAAAGGTTTTGGCAACTTCAAAGAGGGCATTTGGAAATTAAAGACAATGATTGTAAATTTTATGATTTGGATTACAATTTGTATATAAAAATTAGAAGATTTGGAGTTATGGTAAAGAATATATAGTTGTTTGAACTTAAGGTGTTAATTTTTATATATACTATTACTCTTTTGAAGATATGAAGAGTTTTACGGCAGATTTTGAAGATTGAAAGATGCGGCTACAACAACAATTTCAAGGCCTATATCTTTCATGAAAGAATTATTACTTTTGAAGTTTATATGAAGGAGTTATAGGGAATTGAAGGCGGCACTTTCAAATTAAAGGCAGTAAATAAGTGGTTTTATTTATATTAATGGTTGGAGCCATAACTTCATTTTTTGGATAAATTTTTGGCTTAAAATTTTTGAAGATTATAATATTTTGTGTCAAAAAGCTATATATAAAAATTTCATGGAATTTGAGCTTATATTTTTGTGAGATATTAAGAAAATTATACTTGGATATATAAAGTCAAGGGTTTAAAGCCATTGTTAGGGTTTTGAAGATATCTTAAGATCCGCCATGAATTTGCAGTTGAAATTTATTATTAAAATTAATAAGATTACATCAGTGTGTCATGTAAAATTTGAGTTTGTTTGGATGGTCGGATTAAGAAATGTGAGGTGTTGAAGTTTGGAAAATTTTCCATATAAGGATATACAAGGTTTTAGAGGATTTTATCATATTTTGGGTGTTGTTAGTTACTTAAGGCTTATATATTTGGTGTAATTGCTTAAAAATAGAAATTTTATATATAAACTTAGGGCTTTCCTTATTTTAAAACTTGATTGAATAATTAGTGACAATCAAAAGTCCAGCATTTTCTTGACGCAAATTCTCTCTACTCTAATAATGCAAAGTTTTTGGCAAGCCTTGTTTAAGTTACTAGGCATACAACTTGCCATATCTACAGTCTTCCATCCTCAAATAGATGGAAAAATAAAGCTTGCAAATCAAACCTTAGAAGATATGTTGAGGGCATTTGTGGTGGTTCATCATAATGATTGAAATGAATACTTGATGCCATTGGAGTTTGCTTACAATGATAATATTCAAACAAGTACCAATCATTCATCGATTAACATCCAATTGTATAAGCAACTCTCTATTATTCCATTGACATCAACCCGACATTGGAGGAATTTATATAATGGCTTATAACAACCTTATAAGAGGCAATACATCGCCTCTTTGCTGCACAAAATCAATACAAGTAGTATGCAAATAACCACCGACAATACAAGATCTTCCGGGAGGATGATCAGATGTTACTTTTCAATGCCAATTTGCCACTTGTTACATCAATTCAAATCTGTAAATTAGTACCTCAATGGCTTTGACCTTTTCAGATTTCTGCAATGATTTTTGATGTCACATACCACCTTGAGCTTCTGCCACATATTCAAGTCCATCTAGTTTTTCATATTTTGCAAATGAAGGAATTTCATACCAAGCCAAAGTGCTTTCCAAATTGACATCAACCACTACCACCACTAGTTGTAGTTTATGACCAACAAGAAAATGAAGTGAATAGCATTTTGGAGCATCGCAACCTTTGCCGTGGTAGTAGATGTCCACAACTTTAGTACAAAGTTCTTTGGAAAGGTTATTCTATCCACGATGCAACAAGGGAACCTGCACAAAACCTCACCTATTGCTAAGAGACAATTTGGAAATACCATCGAGAGCAAAACGAAGATGATATACATTAGTGAAGGAAAATTAATAATAACAAGGTATAGATAAAATATATGTATTATTGAAACGTAGGAATAGATAATTAGAACCATTTTTGAGAAGTTATGGAAGTTTTTAGAATTATGGTTAGATTAGTGGACCAGATAGGATCCACCGTGGAACATTTTAGAAAGAATTTACTAAGGTTATCTAAGTGGAGTCTATCATAGAACCTTCTAGAAAGAATTTATGGCAGTTATTTAGATGGGGCCTACTATGAAACCTTCTAGAAGGAGTTTAAGGTAATTATCTAAATAGAGTCCATCATCTAAAAATATTCTAAAAAGTCTAAGGTGATAGAACAAAGTATAAATAGGATTGGCCATGGTCTTATGGGGCATCTAGTTAAGTATGGCCTTAGACCTTCTTTCTTAGTTAAGTTTGATTTTACATCTTTCTATTCAATTCTATTTTATTCTATTTCTATTTGTACAGTTTTAACTTTTTTGTCCTATTTTATTTAATTTTGTTCAATTTTATTCTGGTTTATTTTGTCCTACCTTACAATAAAGTTATATGTTATTGTAGATTAGAAGAATTTTAGACTCTCAAGTTAGACTAGTCCCATTTCATTAGAACTTTATTATTATTTACTACAAATTTTGATATATCCAAGTCAATAAACTTCATATGTATGTACTATATTTTTTGAACTTGTCTCTTCTAAAGACCATGATTACAATATTTTTAGGCTTCAAGTCACAATGAACCATCTTCATGTAATAGAAATAATACATTTCAATAGCAATTTGTATCATTATAGCAATTTTTGCTTAAAATTGTCATTGTTGAGGATATTTTATCAAATAAAAATAGTACAAGGATTCTATTGCTTTTCTCTATATCAATTAAGAACTTTTTAATATTATTTAATTTTAAAAAATAGCTACAATATAAGACCTTGATAATGCTTGAATGATTTAATTGTAAAAATATAAGACCTTTTTTTTAGAAATGCTAATTGCATTAAGATCCTCAAATAATATAACTTTGGTGATTCTTTTGAAACCTAACCATATCTCAAATACTTCCGCAATTGTATTCTTTTTCAAAATTTTGGAATTTATTCAATATATTGGATAAATAAATTATAAAAAAATATTATTTTATCAAATTCACCACCTTCAAGTTAATAGATACAACTTTTCCATCAAAGAATATAAATAATTGGCTTAAAGGTTTTTGAATCTTGAGAAATTTCTTTTGCTTATTCACACAATCTTTCATACAAGTATTTTTTTTTATCTTGCTCAATTTCTTCCAAATCACATAGATCAAATTAGTTTTGTATTGAAAATTCTAAATTTTTACATAACTTTCTTTTAGTAAAAATATCATAGACTATGTCACAAAACCACTTTAATTCCAAGAGTAGTTATCTAAATAACTTTTTGCCATCAAAACAACTTCTTGCCAATTTTTTAAATAACTTGTCACCATTCTCTTTGCTCTTGCAATAATTTGATTTAAATCTTCTAATATTGGTTGCAGAATTTAAATTTTGGATCCAAAAATACCTTTGACTTCTTTCCATTCTTCTTTTAAATTAAACAAATTAGTTTTTACATTACTTTGTATTAAAAGAATCTACTTTTTTCATTTCAAATGTCTTCATATCCTAATGTTGAAATTCCATGCTCAAAGAAAACTCTATGTATTTTAATAAATTGATAAAATTATCTTAACATATATATAAATAATGAATCATTTATTTTTATTCAAAAAAACTAAAATTACATCTATATTATTTGTTATATCTTTAAATAAAATTTTATAATATAAAACTAACAAAAAAAATTGTATAAAAATATTCAAGCCTTACTTTGTAATACTAAAGAAACAACTTATATTAATTCTACAAAATTACATGTCTTTTTTAATACAAAACATAACAATCTATGGTCCATGTCTTTAAAACAAGATGAATCTTGCACCATTGTAGATGTAAGTTAAAGCAAATGTATTGAATCCATTGGTAAAATCACAATTAAAAACCACCTCTGAAAACTTAAATTCATTTCAAAAACAAAATAAAACTTAAGAAATTGAATAATTCATATGACATTATCAAAATTAATAGAAAATTCTTATGATACAAAAAATTCTCTCTATTGTCAAAACAAAAAGCTTCAAGCAAAATAACTATTATACACAAAAAAAAAAACAAAAAAAAAAAAAAAAAAATATGTAGGTTAAAGAGAAGTGAAACTAGTAAAGAACCCATAAAGAGAGAATGGAATGAACTTGTATTTGGGCCTACAAAATCTAACCCGAAAATGCAGCATCTTCATGTGCACCTGCACCACAGATTTTCAACCATGGCCATTATTGCCTTGTAAAGAGCCTCCTGGAAAAGTGGCACCATCCACATTCCCTACCAGATGAATCTGCAGTGCTTTCTACACAAAGATGTGAAAGCATTTAGTAAATAATTACCTGCTCCGAGGAAATTGAGCGTGGTAGAGGTGTTGGAAACGGTGAGTGGTGAGATAAACTTGGTCGGTGTGCTGGCTCAGTTGCCACATCGACGTCTCAACATACTCTGGAGGACATCTCAAAGCAGAGTAGCTGTCTGAAAATGAAAAAAGGCTAACATGATGCCGATGTTATCACACCGTCATATTTCAATACTTATCGAATATCTTAGTTAAGCCAGAGGTTCCGAGAGCTTCATGCAAATGGTGTTCAATCGACAAATCGCGAAATTGACTGCGAAAGTCGAGATGATTAATCGCCACTAGCAGTCAGCAGCTCGAACACCAATAAACCTTGAGTGAACTTCAATCTCGCAATCGAAGAACGTCTTGGTGAAGCGACAAGCTCCGATCCAGACACTGCCGAGCTCTGCAAGCGCAAACCTCGAAAATACCTTGCATTGATACCAGGAGGGAATCTCGAACCTTCTGATGTAAACGATGCAAGCCTGCCTCCCGCTAAACTACGACAGAGCTGGGTAGATGATTACGCTACAGCTGCAGAGAATTACAAAACCAGATTCAATCGCCCGCTGGGTGAAGTTTCCAGGTCATAATCAACGATAGTGAATGAAATCCATGAAACTTGCTGCGTGCATGCAAATTTCAGGGTCTGAATTTTCGACATCAATGTCTTGAAAAGCTCGTGTGGCATCGATCACTCCGCTTGCCATCGAACCAGCGTAGTTAAGGTAGAAAGAATCTGATGCCCTGATTTCGGCAACCGTGAGGTCCGGCGGTTCTCGTACTACAGCCTCAATCGTGGACCGTCCGTGACCGAAGTATTCTTCTTCACATAGAATCCTCCAGGTGGACCGATACAACAAGCATCCAATCATCGCACAACGGGTGCCAGAAAAGTGACGACTCTGATCGAATGCCACTTGGCTGCCGATGCAAGAGTTCTTCAGAGTCGGCGTCTCACCTCTCTTATCCATGCCGTTCGCTGTTACCTCCTTCCACTTATATATTTTGCAAAGATCTGTCTCGAACCATTGTAATTTGACACTGACATCTGTCGTAGTATCTTCTGTGTTAAACAAAATTCTGCTTTTCCTTACGTACCCAGCAATCAGCTCTGTTTCTAGTGTATTCTGAGAAATCTCTCTTCTTTGAAATGGCAACCGTCATGGCCAGCCTGAACGTTGCCGTGGTGCAGCCCATCAACGCGGTGTCCTCCACCAGCCAAGTGCATTTGGGATCAGTCAGCCGTCTCGGAGGTCTGAGGTTGAACGTCGCTCACTCCAGCTTCAGTCTCCGATCTTCCCCCGCGCGCTCCGTCGTTGTGGTGCGCGCCGAGGAGGGCGTGGTCGACAAGGTGGAGAATGCGGCGGGAGATGCAGCCAACAAAGTGAAGGAGACCGCGGGAGCCGCCAAGGACAAGGTGCAGGATGCCGCCGGTGCCGCCAAGGGCAAGTTAGAGGACGCCGGGAACTACTTGTCCGGAAAGGCTGGAGAGGCTCAGGACAAGGCGCAGGATGTAGGGCGCGACGCCCAGAACGAGGCGGAGAAGCTGGGCGACAAGGCTGACGACGCAGGCAGGGACTTGGAGGGCAGCGCTAGGAATGCGAGCAAGGACGCGAGAAGCGAAGCTGAGAAGCTTGGTGTAAGTTTTCGTCTGCCTCCGAAGCTCACTCCGATCACATACTTTAGAGCAGTGTGCTCATCTCATTGTCCCGGATGGTGTTGCTGCTGTTATATGGTTGTGGGCTCGCGCTGAGATTGAATGCATTTCGATGATGTTTGCAGGACAAGGCTCAGAATGCCATAGACGATGCCGGGAACTCGCTGCAGAAGAATGCAGAGAAGGCGAAGAGCAACGCTCAGGACGCGGGGAAGGATTTGCAGGAAAAGGCTGAGAATGCAGCGGATGGTGCCCGTGACACAGCGCATGACTTGAAGAGAGATGCTCAGAAGGGTGCGGACCGCATTTCCAACTGAGGATAGCAGCATCAACAGAGTAGTTTGGGTGTAAATGTCTTGAAGTGTGTAAAATGTAGGCTGAAAGCGCATTCATTGTTGAAATATGCTGTTACCTGTATCGTATTGTAGGTATGAAATCTTGTTGCTGCAAAACTCTGTACAGCTATCGCAATGCGTGTATTCATTCTATTAAAGCAAATCATGTTAAAATTTATGGCGCATTAAACCTGTGATTGATATGAATGTGTAAAGGTTTTTTCGGTAATGTTGAAATTGCTCCGCGCTGTGTAATTTCGTTTCTGACTGTGAGGCTCATGGGAATTTTCGAGAAATTTCTTAGAATTTTGTGTGCTGCTGCTTCGTGCTGTTGCAAAGCCTCACTTTCTCGGGAATTACGTTTAGCAGCATTACGTTTAGGACTGTGGTCACCATTTTCTGTCTTGGTGTGGCTTCAAGGTGCTCTTTAATAGAATTTTACCTGAGTTTTGTCTTCTCACACTTCTGATTCACCTTGCATAGAACCGAATCGTTGTAACCGTTCGTAACCAGTGAAACAAGCACTGGACAGGCATAACACATGATCTTGAATGCAAGATGGTACATTTTGAATATGCTTCTGGGGATTATGTTTATTTGATGAAGACATTTACTACAGTAGCTACCAATAATTTTGTCATGTGAGCGTTGAATGGCAATTTCAAGTAGAAACACGTCAAAAGAGTACAAAGATGAAGCTTAGAATAAATTAGGTTCAGAATTTCATCTCCGAAGCACGAAGAAATTTACCAAATTGTGCACTGTAAGGTAGAAACAAATTCTTAATGAATACTCTACAAGGCTTCACAACTTTCCAAGCCCATGACACCGACAAGAAGTGAAAATCAAATATTGTGAAGAAGCGTGTTAGTAAAATTTTCCGTGGATGAAAGAAATTAATGTAGCGCATTTGCACGCGTTTGAATTTCGACTATATCCTCGAAATTCACCTTCATCACAACCTACTCAGCTTGACAAAGAGGAGTTCATCAATACTGTTCTCATAGGATTCCGAATCCATAAGTTTCGATTCCACCGGTGGTGCTCAATCGACGGCTGTTTTCATCTACATGCTTTTAGGCTTTTATGGAAAGCCTGAAGATGACCCATGATGGAACTGGACCAGAGAATATGTTTGAAAGACGTGTCAACACAAGCCCAACTTATAGCGGAATTCCGTGGCAACATCTTATCTGAAAACTTCTTCCTCAGCATCTAGATCCTCCAACTGGACCGTGATTGTCCCGCCGCACTCCAACCACTGGCGATGCGCCGCGTGCGGAGTACTTCCTGGCTTCCGAGGTCAGCCACTTGTCGAGCCTGCACATGACTGTCATCTAAGTTGGAATGAACGCTGCATTATCCTTGCCATCGCCACCGCTGCCTTCTGCTTTAAAAACCTTTCACCCTGGTTCTGGACCATATTGTAATTCTTTGTAAACGATCGACTTAGTCTCCACTTTGCAGTACCAAGGTATTTCATATTATCTTCGCAGAGTTCACGATAGTCTTCAGCTTCACACTCAGTTGAATATTATACTGTAGAAATGGCGACCATGATGACCAGCCTGAACGTTGCCGCGGTGCAGCCCATCAACGTGGTATCCTCCACCAGCCAAGTGCATTTGGGATCAGTCAGCCGTCTCGGAGGTCTGAGGTTGAACGTCGCTCACTCCAGCTTCAGTCTCCGATCTTCCCCCGCGCGCTCCGTCGTTGTGGTGCGCGCCGAGGAGGGCGTGGTCGACAAGGTGGAGAATGCGGCGGGAGATGCAGCCAACAAAGTGAAGGAGACCGCGGGAGCCGCCAAGGACAAGGTGCAGGATGCCGCCGGTGCCGCCAAGGGCAAGTTAGAGGACGCCGGGAACTACTTGTCCGGAAAGGCTGGAGAGGCTCAGGACAAGGCGCAGGATGTAGGGCGCGACGCCCAGAACGAGGCGGAGAAGCTGGGCGACAAGGCTGACGACGCAGGCAGGGACTTGGAGGGCAGCGCTAGGAATGCGAGCAAGGACGCGAGAAGCGAAGCTGAGAAGCTTGGTGTAAGTTTTCGTCTGCCTCCGAAGCTCACTCCGATCACATACTTTAGAGCAGTGTGCTCATCTCATTGTCCCGGATGGTGTTGCTGCTGTTATATGGTTGTGGGCTCGCGCTGAGATTGAATGCATTTCGATGATGTTTGCAGGACAAGGCTCAGAATGCCATAGACGATGCCAGGAACTCGCTGCAGAAGAATGCAGAGAAGGCGAAGAGCAACGCTCAGGACGCGGGGAAGGATTTGCAGGAAAAGGCTGAGAATGCAGCGGATGGTGCCCGTGACACAGCGCATGACTTGAAGAGAGATGCCCAGAAAGGCGCGGATCGTATTTCCAATTAGAAGTGGACACAAGGAGCAATCATAGTGAGTGATATTTTTCTAATATATTATATTAGTAGTTGCAGTGGCATATCTGTAAAGAATATGTAATTAGCGTGTAGGAGATGAAAATGTTGACGTTAATACAACTAGAAGCGAAAATTTGTCCAAACAATTGCTGAGTATTTATGTTGTGCAATATGAGAAATATTTTATCTGAAGTACATATTGTAAATTTTGGAGTTTTTCTATATGTTATTTATCATTACTTAATAAAAATAAATATAATATTTTCATACGGTCATGGTAGGATAAAACTGATACGTGCATTGTTAGTAATCTGCAAAATTTATAATACAATCTGTTCATATTATTGACAGGTAGATGAAATTGCATTTCATACTGTAGACACCTTATCAGCAATTTAGAGTTTACAAAGCATGGTTGAACTGCCGCCACAAGATACACACTTCGTTACATTCATACAAGCAAGTTTACGAAGAACCAACGTTTTAATACTTCTTTCTAACTTGAAATGCGGTCGGTACCCTTTTGAACATCCTTCTTCAGATCCCGAGCAGTGTCGCGTGCAAAGTCACCAGCGTCTTCAGCCTTCCCTTGCACGTCTCTACCGGCATCCTGAGCGGCGCTGGACGCTTTGTCAGCATTTTTCTCTAGAGATTCGCCAGCATTGTCTAAGGCGTCTTGAGCCTTGTTCTGTAATCACCGTAAGCAATTGAATCTTAGCAATCGAACAGATTTAAGCAACACATCTCTCTTCGACTTTCATGACTATTCAGAACAAAGCCGAGCCACTTTGCCGGAGTGATGGGAAATACAGCAATCAAGTAGGATACAGCAATTGTATCAATAGCATCAATGGCGTGATACACTTACATCAAGGTTTTCAGCCTCGCCTCTTGCGTCCCTGCTCGCGCTCTTTGCACTGTCCTCCATCTCCCTACCTGCATCGGCAGCGTTGTCGCCTAGCTTCCAAACTTCGTTCTGCGCATCGCGTCCCACGCTCGTGGCTTTATCCTGAGCCTCACCAGCTTTTCCGGACAAGTAATCTCCGGTGTCCTCTACTTTTCCCTTGGCCGCGCCCGCAGCGTCCTGCACTTTGTCTTTGGCAGTGCCAGCCGCTTCCTTCACATTGTTAGCTGCATCTCCAGCAGCATTCTGCACCTTGTCAGTCACTCCCTCCTCCGCCTTCACCACAATCGGGCCCCGCCTTAGTGGTGTACGAACACTGACGCTCCTCGCCGAACTCAACCGGAATCCACCAAGACGGCGCACCGAGCTCAGCTGCTCGTGTCTGGTCGTCGTCGTCGTCGTCCTTGTGACGGTGTTTAAAGCCTGAGCTCCAACGACCATGTTTGTGCATGCCATCAAAGCCGACTCCATCGCTGCGACCTCTAATTTGTTCTCCGCCGGTCAAAACTCGATGCAGTGAGAATGCTCTTAATGGAAGTCGACTAAAATTTCGGTGTTGAAATGGAAACTTTTATAGTGTCGTTTGTCTTAATAGGTCCCATTTGGATGGCGGTATTGTTTGGTAGCGTGCCAACGTGGCACCTAACACCAAAGGAACGTGTGCATGAAGTCCCAAGTGGCGCGGTCACGGGATGGATATGCTATGACACGTGGCGCAGGACGATTAGGAGGGTGGATTTTCTTGCTTACGTGGATGGAATGAGAGGTGAAGTATGGGTTATCTTGGATAAGGTTGTTTGTTCCTCATGATTGTCACTGCTCCGCTTCCACTTGTCCCACGTCTGTGTAACATTAGGGTTTGCAATTGAACCTTTCAATAATGTATGTATGTTATTCAGTTCTTGCAATCAACCTTTAGTAGTTCTCCATATGAACCCTAAAAACTACAATATAATGATTGTGGTATTTTTAAATTTTTAAAGCCGTAAACTTCTTAGACTTTTTTGATGTTCAGTAAGAAGCAAAACTTTTCAACAATGTATGAAATTATGTATATACAGATAGATTTCATGTCTGTGTTTATCAAATAACTATGGCATAGAAATGAAGCTAAAAATATAAAAAAATTGTAAAAAAAAATCGAAATATCAAAAAAACCTATAGCAAAATATTACACAGTAAAAGTGAATGTATGTATGTATGTATGTAAATTCATTTTATTTAATAAAAATAATAATTATATAAAATCACAACATTAAAATGAATTGGACTTGTGTCATATCTGTGTGTATACATATGTTTATTGATTATAATCATCATTAGGTATCATTATTTCTTCTTCATTATCAACATGAAGAAGAATGTCTAAAGGATAAGCAATGATGTAATCTGTATCTGAGATTAAAATTATTTCAGAAATATATTAAAGAATGGAAACTTGACATTCTCTTGGCATCGAAAAGTGCAAGATTAATTCTTTAAAAGAGTTGAAGGGGGCTCTATTGATTCATGCCAAGATAAGCTTTATGGTGATTTGTAAAATTACAAGTTTTTGATTTTGAATGAGAATTTAGCATGCATTGTCATAGAATCTAATTACTTCAAAATGCTTAAGGTGTAGTTATAACAAGGTGCAAAATCTCAACATGATATTCAATAAATATATATATAGAGAGAAAAATTAACAATATAAAATATAAAAAATAATAAAAATTCTTTGTCAAATCTAATTAAAATATTAAAATGGCTACAACCACCAAATTTTAATATTTTTATTTGCCAAAAATCATATAAATCTTAAGAAAAATAAAATTATACAAAACATATCAAATTTTAAGTAAAAAATTTTAAAAAATAATAATAATATAGTCTCGAAGTTGGAATGTTGGTTAAAGATATAACTTATAACAACTTATATTGAATGTTTTTATCAATTTTTTAAAAAATATAGGTTTTTAATTCAAAATAATAAAATTTATAAAGCTATAGACAACAAACTATCACAATCATTATTTTGTAGTTTTTAGGTTTATTTGATATATATATATATATTTAATTTTTTATTTTTATTTATTCTTCAATTATGTATATCAATTATTTAATATTCTTCAATTAATATTCTTTGACTACCTAATTATATTTAATGAATTAGAGGTTATTGTAACAAATAGCCATATTTATTGGTATATTTATATAGATTAGTAGAAATAGATAGAAGGAGGTTAAATTATTTATATCTTATTAGAAAGCATTTAAAAGTTTTATAGCCTTTATACATGTTTATAATTGATTTGATAAGTTGACAACTTAGTCAATAAGTTGCTATATATTACACATTTAACCACTTATATTATAAGTTGGTCTTGTGGTTCACATATCAAAAACTTGTCCTATAAATTAGGCATGTGTAATATGGCCTATTGGACATCACCACATAGTGCCTTAGTAGATAGTATTTATAGAGACAAGAGTGTGGCCTTCTTCACCCTTGTCAATGACTTTCTTGTGTTTTTTTTTTATTATTATTATTTTTTATTTTGCACTTGGCAATGGCTATTCTTGTTTCAATTCTACATGCATCTTTTAATTGATTACTTTCTCTATTTTGATAATATATATATATATATATATATATATATATATATAATTTTAATGTGATTCATATCTTTGATAATTTAAAAATACTACTAATTTCTTATACTTATTTTATTCTAAAAATAAGTAAATTATTTTACTTTTTATTTTTGTCTTTTAAAGATTTTAGACTATCCATCTTTAAACTAATATTTTTTATTTTTTAATATTCATTTTTTTTTAAAGAAAGTAGATTATTTTTCTTCCTAGAAATTTTTAAAAAGTATCAGGTATTACAAATTATCTATTTCTAATATGAATTAAGGATTTTTTAAAGTTTTTTATTACAAACTATGGATGCTACTCCTTGAAGAAGTGAAAATAGATTTATAAAATTTGATAATCTTCACAAACTTAGCAATATTCTTAAGATAAGAATTTTATATATCACTAATTATTATTATAGAAGTATTATTCCTATGTTTGTGAAAGAAATCAACAATAAGGTCTAATGTATATACCAAAAACTTTTGCAATTGAGAGAAGCAAGTAGATTGATCTCACATGTAAATCCAAAAAATCTTGCTACTATAAATATGAAGGAAAAAATGATTAGTATGCTGATAAAGTCTCACGAAACAAGATCAAAATTTAAAAGATTTCTACAATAAGTGAAGTTCTATTTAAGTTGTATCCTTCTCAATATCTTAATGGACTCACTTAAGTTGGATTTATAGGCTCATTTTTATTTGGGAGTCTTTTCTTGATTTGCAGTTTTCATAGAAAAGGATTTACAATTCTTATATGATTTAAATTTATTCTTAGAAGTGTATATGTCTACATTCAAAGAAAGCAATCAAGAACATGTAGTAAAAATAAAATAAAATAAAAAATTAAAATAAAATTTATAATTAGCTACCATCTATATTGCCAAATTCTAAAATCTTGCTTGCAAAATGGATTGGAAAAATTAAATTTTTATCAATCAATTTTGATATGGATAAAAAATTAGTGCTAAAGATTTGTTATTAATTTTTTTTTAAAGAAGATTTATTAAAACAAATTTATTGCTTAAGATATTGCATGTTATAGTTAATTCTTTAGAAAATATTAAGTGCAAAGATTTAATTGAAGAAGAATAAATCAAGTCAAGACAACAACTTCTAACTTTTTAGAAACTTATTCATCAAGATTAAGACCTATATAAATTAATATAGCTTAATTTTAGCTATTCATACTTTAAATATATATATATATATATATATATATATATATATTATAAGAAAAAATTATATTTATATTGTGGAAAAATAAGTCATAAGTTACAAGACTATTATATAAAATCAACAAGGTTTAAAGGTAAGGAATATAAAATTTTTAAAAAATAAAATAAAAAACAAAGATATCTACTAGCAATAGGGACCCTCCAATGAAACAACTCTAAACCATCAAATATGAGTCTTATACTACGACTAGATCTTGGAAATTGATTTAAACTTTCTATAGTTATTATAACTTTAAATCTTAAAATTTTAATTCAAGATCTTTGAGACACTAAAACCTCAATATATTTTATAAATAAAGAATTTGAAAAACTAAATGATAGTCAAAATCTATTTCTTTTTTAATATATCTATAATTTAAAAATCATTAATATTACAATGACACAATATCAATTTAATTTTTTTTAGTGTGATAAAAATTGATTTGCAAATTAAATAAGTTTCAAACAATTGAAAATATTGGTTTGTAGTTTTTGATAAAATAGAATTAAGAATGATTTTCAAGAAATTCTTAATCTTTGCCTCACATTCAAAAATAAATTTTTATTTCAGATTGAATTTTCTTTCAAGAACTCATAAATAAAACGTGCTAAATTTTAATTTTTGAAATTTTCTTTAAAAAAATTTAATTTTCCTTCTCAAAATTTCATCCAATTAATAATCTTCAAGGACAAATAAAAACGTTTAATCAAACAGCAAATTTCTAGGAAATACAAAAAATATATATATAAAAAAAAAAAGATATGTAATCTTAAAAAATATTTAATATACAAAAATCATGTAGGTGCTAAATAATGAAACAAAATGTGTAAGAATTGGTGAGGCCAATATTGTCAATTTGACTGGACAAGTTATTTGTTTGTCCATTTGCTTGACAAACAAATGGACAAGTATGACATAATGAAATGAATAAACATTTAGTAATTAAGCTTCAAAATTGTATTGGAGATATTATCATTTGTTACAATTTTATTAACATATATATATATATATATATATACACACACAGAGAGAGAGAGAGAGAGAGAGAGAGAGAGAGAGAACCAGAGGGTGATGTGAAACTGGTTTAGTATAGAGAGTGAAATATTATTTAACAACAAAAGAACTACAATTATGGGATACAAAGAAGCCAGTCATGAACACCAAAATCCTTGCATCCCAAATCCCACTTCAAACCCTAAATCTCCTACTAATGTATTTATTTTTCAACTCAAAATGACTTGCTCATCTACATCCACACAATTATGGACTTTGATTGCATACACCACATGTTTTTGAAATCCTATCATCATTTCTAAAATTATATAAAATCACTCTGCCTTTGTTTTTTTAACTTTTTTAAATTTATAAATCGAGTGTTAAAGCTACGATTCTACTTCTTACTATATATGTATATTTACTTTTTTGTAATCACAAATTATATTTTTCAGAAAAAGACTTATAAAAAATCAAAGTTCACACAATTCAACTGCTTGAAAATCATCTCAAGATTTGATTGTTTCTGTGTTTACATGCCAATAATATGCAGTACTGAATTTGAAGATTCCACTTCCTTGAAATTCATTTAGGATGAAAAAATCCAAGCATGTTCCAAGATCATAGTAACACATAAGCTGTATGGGAGAAAAAAATGAAAACACAAGAATGTGAAGGTATCATAACATCTCCACATGTACACAAAAAAATCCTTTTGAATATTCAAAATTACATAATGGGACAACTAACTAATCTCTTATATTTACAGACACCCTTGTCAAATACAATTCAAGTCTTGTAATTTCAATTTTTGTAATTTATACTTTAACCTACGGAGACATGTTGTCACCAAATAAAAAATATTTTATCTTAAATAGAAAATAAAATACACTGCCCCATTCTTGAAGAAGTAAGTACAAGCAACAGCTCACTCAACTGATGCAACAATTAAATAAAAATAATAGTTTACTTAATGATTCACATGGTTCTAAGACATAGATAATAAAATAACACTTGTTTCCTTGAATATTCTCATTAAAACACACACACCCACTCACACACACCAATGGTTTAAAATGGTATGTGAAGTGGCAATAAAAGGAATAATCTAAAAGGGGCAAAAACTTCATGACACTGAAATTCTCATTTTCCAAAGCTTTGGTTTCAGGCACTGGGAATTAGGGTTTGAGGGGGGGGGTGGGGAGGAAGTTTCGATACACAGCCATCAAGCGAGAACCCCTAAACCCTAAACCCTGCTTCGCAGTGTTGGAGCCCGATTGTCATTCGGTTGCAGGGCCCGATCCTCCATTGCCTCCTCTCCATCGCCTTGTCGCTTGCCATTTTGAGATCGGCGATGGGCGGGGCGTCACGATCCGTCTCCCGGTCCTGCCGCACTGCTGGTCAATACTTTGGTCGTCTCGTGCAGGGCCGTGTGGATCTTTCTGCGTCTCACGTTCTACGTGGGAGAGACTTGCCATCTCGGAATACCTCTCCAGGCGATCGTGATCGCGAATCCAAGGGGCTCGTGTCGGCGCGGAAGGAATGTTTCGGATTAACTTTTGTCGCCAGGTGATTGATTGTTTCAACTTTGATTTTTAAGCATTTCGGTTCTAGCGACGATTGACATGATTTTGATGAGAGGTTTAGGGGGATGGTGGATACCGAGCATGGTGCTCAACCTTTCGTTGCGATTTTTGTAATGGATTGTAAGTGTAAAGGCATGTTTATGTAGTATCCACTGAATGGAGTCGCACGAGAATTATCGAGTTTTGTGATTGACACATTATGTATTCCTGTGACGTGGTAAATTCGCAGCTCTAGCGAGGATGTAACGTGTAGGAAGTTGCACATGGCAACCAGGCATATGTCATCAATGTCGCTGTTACTCCAGCAAGGGGAAAAATTTAGACAATACGGTGCGATGGCCTTTGTCTATTTGAGATGCATTGAGCCGGGGTGGAGTTCCAGAGGCTCTCTGCTACCTTCGCCTGCCTCCAACCCATTTATAACGGGTGGAATTCGATGGAAGACCAAATATAGCAAATCTGAGCAAGCAGCAAAGAGGGCTGCCAAGAAGAAGAAAGCAAAGCAAATTCGAGTAAAACTTCGCCAAATTCGGTTGGCAAAGAAGCTGAGGAAAGCCAGCATGACGCCCGAGCAGACGTTTCTTTGGCGTATTGAAAAGGTTGTATGACCAACCTAGACTTGTTGTTGGTTTTTATGAAGAGTCCTTAGCCCCCTACCACTAACACTATTGGCACTCATGCGTCCAAGAATGGGTGCCTTAATTAGAGGTCCTACCAATAGAGCTTGTTTTGCCTCAAAATAATCAGCTTTTTTTTTTTAATGTGCAGTCCGTGTTGCATTTCGACCTTTAAGAGGTGGTCTGAATAGAATCGTAGGCATTTTGAGGTGTTAAGAACAATTTTCAAAACCTTCACAGGAGTAGTTAAGATAATATGTCACTGAAATTTGACTGTTTGTGGTGTTTGGTTGCTTTCAGTGCAAGAAAAAGATAGCGTTGCATGAGGAGCAACTCAAGAAATTCGAATTGCCGCCATTGCCCGAGCCTGACCCCGATCCAGAAGTACTTACCCCAGAGCAACTGTATGCTTTGAAGAAGCTCGGCTACAAGAACAAAAATTATGTGCCTGTTGGGAGGCGAGGGATCTATGGGGGTACAATCCAGAACATGCACATGCATTGGAAGAAGCATGAGACCGTGCGGATAGACTGTGACAATTTTCCGAAAGAGAAAATTAAGGAGATGGGCGAGACGCTAGAGAGACTTAGCGGGGGTATTGTGATCGACATCCATCAAGGCACTACTATCATAATGTGGCGTGGTAGGAATTATAAGCGGCCCAAAGTTGATATACCGATTATCTTTAAAAACTTCAACAAACGAAAGGTGCGAAGACTCCCTCAAATTATAATTTTCTTTCCCAACTTGCAACTGTTTTTGTTTAAAAAAAGGAAGAATATAAATAAAAATAAAAAATCCAAAAATATTTTTAGGTTTTAACACTCCAATCAATCCAGCATCATTCATTCCTTTGTATAAGTTTACAGCTACGTACTGATACTTCTCATACGTGCATGTAAGTGCTATATTGAGGCTGTAGCTATCCCCTGAACGTGTCCTATTTATGGTATGTGGCTAGGCTCTCATTAAATCAAAGCATGAGCAATCTATTGGTTCATTGAAAGATCAAATAGTCAAATGGGAGAAGGATCTTAGAGAGCTGCGGGCAGATATGGCTCGTGAAGAAGCTGCCAGAGCTCGTTGGTTGGAGGAAAATCCTGGCATGGCACCTCCAGAACCTCCAGCTCCTGTGTCAGTGGAACAAAGCGATGACGACTCTGATGAGGTTACAGATATATCCGACGATGACATAACAGAAGTGGACGATTTGGGTCCTGAGTACGACGATGATAGTGATTGGGAGTATCCAGACAGTGATGTTGATCTTCCAGATCGGTCTGTTCCAAGCAATGATAACGCTTCAACTAGCAATGTCTCGGATAGTAATGATGAATGGGAAAGTAATTTATACGGTTCTGGTGATGAGACTGGAAGTGATACCGACACTTCAACGAGAGAAATAATTGGGAGATCATATGCGATCCGAAGAAAACCGTGAGGGCTTCGGGTTCTGCTCTTAACAGCAGGGTGGGCTGGACGATAGCGTGTGCAAGTCTGAAGACAGCGGGAGAATGAAATCATATGCATTTTTCTCCTTCAAAGGTGTTGCACTGCATGCACAACTTGAATGAGGTCCACCTTGCCAAAGACGATAAACAATCCAGGAATTTATGCCTACATGAAGGTTGGTCTTCCACCAATTAACTTTTTCTGCTCGCATCTAGGATTCAATTTAATGAAGTTGAAGTTTATTCGGTGGGTTCTGGCAACTCGTCTTGAAATCTCGTACTTTTAACTATTTTTATAGTACGGTATGTTAAGGCCGATGTTATGGTGAACTCGTCGCACACCTGCACCAGTTTTCTCTATGTCCTTGATTGTTGTTATGGTTTGAAGTCAAATAACTGAACTGAAATTAGCGAAGAAAAGGAATAGAAAAGAAAAATCTTTGAACGGGATTCTAAATCATTCTAATTCCTTCATGTAATGTCTGCAGGCTGCGAAGTTCCAATACTTGATCTCTTCCAACAGCTTGGCCACGTAGTTGTTGTCAAGCTCAGTAGATGACTTTGGTTTACTAACTCGTCGACTGTAGTCGCATAAGGTTAGTCGTGACTTCAGTATGGAAGTAATGTACTATGTTGTTAGCCCTCCCAAGAAAACCTTCCAAGGATTTTTCATCCTCAGAATTCAGGAAATCTCCTGGTTTACCACTCCTTTGTCTTGATGTGGAGATAGCGGGGCCTCGCTCAGTCTGTCTGTCTCTCTTTCTCTCTCTCTTTCTCTCAATGTACAGCTTCGAAGTTGGACAAAATCGAGGTGTTTCGAAAGAAGTTCCTGAGTTGTCCATGGTGGCTACCATTGCACTTGAGCTACCGGAAGGCATATCCGAGTCGCCCAAGAAAGACAGCTCACATTGTAAAGAGCCATCATTTTTGACGAGTCAGAAATCTTTGACGAGCATGTATATGTAAATGTGTTCCTTTTTCCCTCCTATGATATTATTATATCTACACCGGAAAACAATTTTCTCATTCTATCCGAGCATGTTGACAAATAGGTATTTAGTTGTGCGAATAAAAAAAGGCAAATCAATGTGTTGGAATTTCATTTATTGTCTATTGCATCGAGACAGAACTAATGTGATTGAATAGCTTTGTGGATGAACTGTCTTAATGGAATGTCGTATTTCTCGCCGCGGAATAAATCATCGCAGCATGTTTCGTAAAGTTCTGCTTTATCCGAAGCTGACAACGTTCTGTCAGAGATCAAGCGAAACAAATCGTTCGATCCACGTGATGTTGCACTACAGAATTGAAATTCTGAAAGAAGCCTTATTGAAAAATTGTCCTTCTAATAGTTGTCCAAGGTAGAGGTGAGTTTGTAAGCAGCTGCGTACCAAGAAAATAAAGTTAAATTGTCACCCAACAAATATCCTTCACAAACTTAAAGAATGTAACACCTTTTTGGTTTTTGAAAATCATATCCTGAAAGGTCTGCTGCAAAGGATGACAAAGCCTGCCCAAAGCACCACGAGTGTTAACCTTTTGAAAATACTTGCACTTCGTTAAAAGCTGAGTTTCGAATTGAGTTGTCCAAGCATGTCGGTTGATTTTCTTGTTCCTTCCAGGACTTATTTTTCATGGGGCATGACCGTATATATGTACAATACACAATCTTTCAAGTAGAAGTTGGTCAAGTACATTACTTGCAAGTGGTTGTCAAGGAGTCCAAATTCCTCAGCTCCCTACCTCCTGATGTTTACAAAAGGACAACACAGAAAAAGTTTTTTGTGTCAAAGATTGAAGCCAGCTCACTTCCGCTGCTTTGCTCCGACTCCCTCAAAGAGACATTTTAAGCTTATAATTTCTAAGGGGGGGAAGATCAAAGTAAGATGAAAAATAAAAGAGCAAGAATAAGTAAGCATAAAAGAAACGCTCATGCACCTAGATAAAGTTAGAGCTGCCCAAACGGTTATGGAATACTAGTACGATTAATTTCAGCACAGAAAAACATAAAAAATAAAAAATAAAAAATAGACAACCTACATACTTCATTCCATAATAATCGTCGACAGTATCTTCCAGCTTCTCACCTTAACAAATAGAAAGCAAATACATTACTCTACACAATTTATCATTTCAACTTACCTGTCAAGCAGAATTTATTTGTCAATAAGCATGCAGACACCTCATTATCCATCTCAAAAAGCATACAAATTAATAAATTGTTTTACTTCGTCACAAAAATTAGCAAATGTTGAGATTATTTTAATTTCATACTGTTTCTCCCTTCTAAAATAAAGCAAATATTTGCTTGCTCACCCTCAGCAGAGGTATCCACATTAGTCATAATGAGATTCAATCACATTTTACTGCTTTCGTATGTCCATACGTCTACTTATGAAAATATTATATAAATCTGATTTCAAACCAACCACCTTGTGAAAGTGTTGGTTTTGTGAAGGAGCACTGGATCGGTGCAAAGGAAGGACCAACAACCACAATTGGGACTATTCATCGTCACCAAAAAAAAGTGCTGTCTCATCCCTTGATTCTCCCTTTTGTTGGACTTGTGCAAGACCAAAGTCAATAGGGATGAAGGGTTTACGGAATCAGAGGTCTCACGTTCTCATGCCCCCAGGAACATGCTCTCTCTCTCACACACACACACTCACACAAATGACATTGCAGTTGTGGTCATGGGAACACATTTCAAAGAAGATTACAACAAATTCACATCTATCTGTGGGAAAACTTTGAAGATCCAAAAAAAAAAGAAAAAAAAGAAAAAAAGAGAGGAAAATTTAAAAACTGATGAGATGCTCTGCCGTAACAAATCCTAAGTAACAACAATTTTTCTTCAATGTATTTTTTCGTGAAATACAAGTGGCTGCACGAAGTCAGTTTACAGTCGATTGTTTGATGAATCATTTAGCGAAAGACAAGAAATAAAGTACGTGTTTTTCAACATCGAGTGAACTTTTTCTTCTTTATTCAATACTGTTATATGAGAAAACATATCCTTCAATGTGGTTAACATAACCGTTACCATGACAAACACTGTTAGTTTATTGTGGGTTACCTTGATTCAACCAAATGTAGATTGGAACGAGTGAAAGAATTCTCCCTAATACAGAGGTTGGGATGAGGGGCAGAATTTGTACCCAACGGTAGGTAATAAAAGCAGAGTGGGGGCTGTGTTAGGGTATGGTACCCTCCAAAGGTGGTCGTTTGTTGGGTGACGCCACACACTCCCCACAACTGCAGGCCTACGACGCGCCCTGTGCCATCAGATGGGGGATCCAGCGGCGCGGCGAGGCAGGGCTAAGCGTGTCAGGGACGGAGGGGCTTCCACAACGGGTCTCTCTCAACGTCCTCAACCCGAGCAAGAGGAGGGAGGAATGAGGCGAACAGGGAGTGAGTGAGCGAGAGAACGAGAGAGAGAGATGGTGGGTCCCGCTTTCACTCCGCTATAAAGCCTAGATGGCGCCCCCGCTACCGCCTTATTGCGGCGCTCATCCATCACCCTCGCGCCTCCCAATCCCGTTTCATTCCATGCCATTCCGCCTCTTGCCCGGGATTCCCGCGCCATCACGCCGCGCTTGCTATTCTCCGCTCACAGCTTTCGGTGGTCACCACTGAGGATCGTTTCCTTGTTGGTTGTCTGCTTGCTGACTGATGCTCCCCGTTGGCTGTTACAGTGCGTGATTTTCTGAGAACTGGTTCCTAGCTTAGGCTCTAAGTTGCTGCTCCAAGCCTTGTACTTGCCACTTGCTCTTTCTCGTTTGGTGTTATAGTTTGCTGTCTTGCTGGTAGTGTTACGGTGAGTTTTTCGTTGCGCGCTGCTTTGTAATTGCCAGGTGTGAAGGCCAGGACTGAAGGTGCGGAGTGGAGACAAGCTCAGTGCGGAAACGGTGAGTATTGAGTGTCGTCTCCGGGTCTGATCTTGGGGTGAAGAGTAGGGGTGAAAGTACTTGCCTTAGGGCGTGGAGTTGGGAGCCCAATCGATTTCATGGTTTTTGCGGGTGTCGAGTATTTGTTGTGAGTGCTGTAGAGGAGGACCGGTTACGCTGAGTAGACCGCGAGGGCATTCACAAGAAGTTTTGCGCATGTCGTGTGTGGCGCGGTTTGTGGACTGTCTACAAATCAATTGGCAGCGAACCAGACGAATGTCACTTACTTAGATTGGGATCGGTGTGTTGCAGTTAGCGAGCTGAGTGAAACCTCAGCCGCTCTGAATTTGACAGCTATTGGGTGATCACTTTAGTCGGATCGAGTTCAAACACTGTGCGTGATCCCTCTGTATTAGAATCTGAGTTTTGGAATTCGCTCTTTCTGACGTGCTGCCAAGAAATGAATGCACTATGATCACCCCTGACATTGGTTGACCTTACTGCCTACCTCGATAGATATTTTCCTCATGGTCATGGTCCTAAAACCACTCATTTGATCTTGTTTCATTTGATTCTATGAAAGGGTTTAGGTAGTAGTAGTCAGTTGATACTGCATTCTCTAAACTGGGTCTCACCATTCGAAAGTTTGGGGTTGATGGAAAATTGCAGAAGCCATGGCCTTCACCAACGCGACTGCTTCAACAGGGTTCGTGACTTCCGTGATGATTCTGTTTCTGTTGACAACCGTCTCTCCAAGCTTGGTGCAGGGGCGTATGCTGCGAGGGTGTCCATGCGGGCCAACCTACGTGGTCCGAGGAGGCGAGTCCCTCCAAATGATCAGCGAGAAGTGCAACGACCAGTTCATCTTGGAGAACAACCCCCACATCGTCGACCACGACGACCTGTTCGAGGGGCAGCTGCTCAAGATGGATTGTACGCTGCGCAAGATCAACCTGTGCGACATTGCTGGTGCTCTTCCTGTATACTTTTGCTAGTCTCGACGACTGCAAGAATCACCCCAATGATCCCGCACAGTAACTACCTCACCTGACTCGATCGTCTCTGGAGTGCACATTCTCCTATTATTGAAAGGTGCACTACGTCCTCCAGTCGTGAATCGATTCCTCCGCTTCTTCTGGCAGCTGTGGCCTCATACTCCACCAGCAAGTCTCATACAGAACATCCCACGAGATTCCATTCAGGCAGCGCCGATGGGATCATCATATATCAGTTTTGATTGTCTACTTTTCTTTCAATCTCGACATGGCTATAGGTCACCGGGATCGCCGATTCTCATCCCAAACTAGCGTAGTATGTCGAGCTTTAGTACACACAGTGGCCGTCCTTCCACACCGGGTTCAGAGCTGTCAATTGATTTCATGCGGCCTTCCCTCTCATGCCATGGGAATATATTTTATGTAACAGTGTCAACAAATGTCCACAGATAGGCATAATTATCCTGTACATTAAGCCAAAGTCCGGCTAGCTAGCAATACGTATATCAACGTCCATTGAACGAATTCCTGCAACGTTTCGTGTAAAGAGTTTGCATGGCAACCAATGGTGGTTGGTTAGATTTCTTGGGGTGTACACCCGACCGTCAGTCTCTCTTGGGCTATGGGTTAATCATTTGCAACGGCCTTTACATGAGCCACTTGTCCCCCTTCAATAATTCCCCCTTCCAACGTTCCAATGTGTGTACTATGCGAATCAAGCGCCACAGAAACTGAGCGAACCTACGACTTGAATAGAAGGACATCTTCATCCTTTGGCACGTGTCAAATTGCTACACCTCAGTTTTGATGCTGCGTGTGTAGAATTACCTTCCCTTGTGTTGATCCATTGCTCCCCCTACCGCTGCACTGGCAATACTCGTTAAGCTGAATAATCACTGTCTTGTCAGTTAGACTAGCTCCTTCGTCTTACTCTCATTGTCCTTCTCTCTGCCACACTTGTGCACTGATCCTACCGACACTTCGAAGTATCCTGTAGCTTGATAGCGGTTCAACTGCAGTGAACTGCAGCTATTTGTATATTAACAATATATTGTGCACACTAGTAAATATATGCTTGCATGTCTATACGTACATGTAAGCAATTACATTTACATTCGTGCAAATGATACTTTTAGACTTAAAACAGCAACGCTGCGGTTATATGTATAGATGTACGAATGTATACATGTTGTCAATATTATGAAGATCATCCATGCCACCTGAGGCTTATCCTTTTATAATGCATCCAAAACATGTATATTTTGACAGTTCATTATAGTTTTTTTCTTATTAATGGTGCATTTTAAAGCAGACTGTAACAGTTGCAATTCTGATAACAGTTTTTATTCCGTTGATCAAACTTTGTGCATGTGTAGTCATATTCCACGCATTTAAATGCAATATTGAATCAGTTTTCTTTCACTGCAGTCTTTTTACCTTTACTGAAACCAACGTAATTCAACGATGCAATCAAAGAGTGTATTAAACTCAGGTGGCGTGGTTAGTTTTTGTATGCAGACTTGTTTAGAAGTTGAATAAATATTTGATGTGTAAATATATGTGTATGTAGGTATGATAAACATATTGCTATAATGTTGTGTGTATTTTTCCAGTGTCAAGTACTTTTGAATTTCAGATACGTTTTGTGAGTGTTTAAGTGATATTAGTATTGTTGACATTCAAATCTGTCTTGGGTCACATGGATACATGTACTACTTACACAATTCAATTTCTGAAATTGCAACATGCAAAATCATTCTTTATCATAGCTATAATTTCATTTTAAAGTTTATTGGATCAATAACGGATACATTTCCAATGTTTGCATGTTGCAATGTGCGAAAGTTTAGAGTAGTCTGAATTTAATATTCTGTTCAAATACAAATGGCTTTGTGATAATTTTAAATATTATAGTTATTTTTGCTAAAACCTTATCCACTTGAGGTATTGATTACGTGTGCTTTATAAAAAAATTGCACAATTCAACACTTTTCAAAAATCAAATTACCCTTGTAGTAATCATAACTAGGCATGTAAACAGTTGCAAATTTGATTCTGATTATTTATTCAACAAAAATTCGATCAGAATAGATAATCATTCTATGTCCAACACACACACACAAACCACACAATGAGCATATTTATGTGAAACATTTGTCAAACTCAACAAGCAAATAGATCTGTAAACAACCAACTTTTTATGGATGTACGTCAATAATAAAAAAAAAAAAATCCATGTGTATTCATGGGTCATAGTCAATATCTTGTAAAAAAAATAAATTTGACAAATCAATATCATTAGTTGACTATAAATAATACATCTCTACAAATAAATAGGATGATCCAAGGGAAATTTTTACAAGAAACTTCGTCCACTGGGAACAATTCATGTGGAAGTCCTCCAAGGGGGAGAAAACCTGGCCATGAATAGAGTAGACAAAAAAACAGAGAGTAAGAGTCACAACAAAGCACTGGGGCCACGTCGCGGAAAGCCCAAAAGCAAAAGCAAAACAATATTAACAACAATAACAACAACAACAGAGAGAGAGAGAGAGAGGGGCATTATTGGGGGAGGAGAGGGAAAAATCTTAATAGCCACCACAACGTTACACCAACTCAGTGCTGACGTGCTCACGGAAGTGCCAACTCACTCTCTCAAGCCCAGTCACCATATCGGACACGTCACTCTGCGGCTGACGTGGAGGATCCGCAATCGCTTGCGCGGGAAGCACCCGTTCACACAGGCAGTTTGCGCGAGCGGCGGAGGAGGAGGTGGGGGGAGGGAGGGAGGAGGATCTTATCTTTGTTTGTTTGCTCTCCATCGCCGATCTTCGCTTCTCTTCGTCTTCTTCTTCTTCCTCTTCTTCATCTGTGATGTTGCTACTGCCTGCGTTTTCGTCGTCGTCGTCATCGTCATCGTCATCACTTTTTCTGGGACCTGCTGGTGCCATCATGCGTCATGTGGGCTTGTGGCACCCTCGGCACCACCATCACCGTCATCACTTGCCTGCACCGCTTCTCCCTGCCGCATCTCCTCCTCCATCGCCCACTCTCTTACCCCCCTCACCACCCCGCGGTCGCCATCCCCGGTGTCGTCTCTGATTTTCGAGGTATTTGTCGTTATTGTTGTTTTTGTTGTTGATGATGATTATGATGGTTTTGGATGGTTGGGGTTTGGGTTGTGAGATGTTGGATGGTGTGCAACGGGGTTTGAAACTGAGGTGAGGTGTTTGTGCTCTTTGCTTCACGTGGGTGGATTGGATTTTGGCTGCTTTGAGGGATTGGAAGTCGTATTTGGGCCTCCTTTTGTGATTCTCGCTGGCGTGACTCCAGTGCTGATTTAGTTAACGAGTTGGGTTTGGTTTGATGTATTTAGGAGTTGGTGTTATTGGAGTACTGAGTATGAATCGGCTGCGATTTTTTTCCTTTCTGTTTTGATTTGTTTGTTCGTTTTTGTTTTTTTCTGTGTGAGAGAGTGTGTATGTGTGTGTGTGTGTGGAAGTGAAAAAATTGTGATCAGTTTTCTGAGGGGCGGAATATATTGAAGAGGAGTGCAGGATTTTTAAGGATATTTTTCAAATCTAGGGTAACCCAGGTGCCTGGTTACTCGTGGGGGTTCCTTTTATGGGTTGTTGGTCGGTCTGCGGGGAAGTGTTGTAAACGGAAGTAACCTATATCTGTTGGGAGATTGATCATAATGCAAGAAGCGCGGGAGAAGAAATTGAGTTTTTGGTGCAATTTGCTATTCTGAGAATTGTGCACTTTTCTTGATTCATTTTTATCATCGTTGATAGTGTTTGCTTCGCCATCGCAGATTTGCACATGGATTCCAGACCTTGGGATAGAAGTAATCGGGACTGACCCACCAGTCGCATTCAATCAAATGCAGGCGTGGCATAGGTTCCCTGCCCGCATCTCACATAATAAGCTCCAGTCTTTGACGTCATTTCAGCAGTTTAGAACTTCTGTGGAAGCTGTATGTGCCAGCGGTGGGACATGCCAAGATAGTCATGGCTTAGACAACGTAGCAAGGGTTCATATCTCGCCTTCACCGAGGACGAGGATGTCGAGAGACTCACCGCATGCCCCGGATGTGGCAACACACTGTGTGATGTCTGGGGGAGATAAATCTGCGGCGGCTGTTGCTGCTGCTTCGTCGATCCCGCAAGCAGAGCTCTGTGCCACAAACGCTGAGTGCGTGACGGTTGCTGAGTTAGGGTCAGCGGAGGGTCTTGCAAAATGGCTAGAGGAAAGGATTGGTGTTGAGAAGCCATCCGTCAGTTCCTGGGGTGTCGATTCAGGGACCAAACGGATTGGGAACCTGTGGACTGAGTTGGTTGATGGAGAGATCTCTCTGGAAGACTCGAAGCCGCCGAAGAGGACGGTGCATGTGGCAGTCGTGAAGATTCGTAATGAAGCTGGAATGTTTTTGATTGAGTCTAGTCAGGTATCATACTCTGGGCATGTTCGCATAAAAGAGCGAATTTTTGTAGTGCCAAGCTCTTGACCTTGGCACAAGGTGATAAATCGTGTTGAAATCTTGTGGAACCTACTTTTCATGTAGCCTTACTGAATATTTTTCGTGGTTATTAGATATCATATATATATATATATATATATATATGCTGGATTGAATGTCTTGGCTTTCCGCTGTAGTGTTCATGCCATTTTGTGCCATTTTTCTTCTATCAGGAAATGGATGATGGGCGAATGAAGTCTAGGAATAGGCCACTATCTGAAAAAATGCGTCCCGGTGAGAACGTGGAGGACGCATGTAGAAGAGGTGTGTTTGAAGAGCTTGGACCTGAAATGGGAGCTCGTGATCGGGTGGAGATGATCCTTGAAACGTATCAACGGGAAGAGGAAGAGCGAGATTCATTTTCATATCCTGGATTGTTGACTCGGTATGTCCTACACTCTATGGTGGCTTCAGTGCGAGGCCTTCCCAGCTCTGAGTTTTGCACGGAAGAGAATGAGGGGAAACGTTACGATGCCACTTCTAGAAACGAACCTGCAAAGCATTTGGGTTCTTCAAACGAAGCACCAACAAATGTATCGACAAATGGATCAACAAATGGAGCACCAACATTCTCAGGAAACGGGCATGCGAGTGGAATTCGCTGTGCGATAGGAGTGAAGAAACATTATTGGAAATGGGTGACTGATGTTGAACTAGACGAAATTATGAAGAAATAGGATCTTACTTCGAGGAAGGAGCTTCTTTTCTGGCAGCGACTTCCGATTGTTTTCCAAGAATGTGGGAGGACTAATAATGAACCCTAATTTGAGGTCAGGAATGAAGGATTTTGAAGCGTGTTTGAAGAGGCGAGTTCCGCGACGAATTAGGCAAGGCTCTTCTTGTGGTGCTCATGGGCGCATTTAGGCAACGTTTGAATCCCAACTTCACATCGTTTTCGCATAGGAATAAGTAAAGAGTAGAGCTGCGCATTCATGGGAGCTGTGCAGTCCGATTAGACACTGTTTTGGAACTTGGAGTATTACGTGTGATTAATATGTAGAATTGAGACGGTTCTCTGCATTTTTTTGCGTAGTTTTTGCTGTGGTATATGTGTGTATAGAGTTGTCAGAAACGTTGCGTTGTTTACAGTTCTATCTCGATACACAAAACGAAATGCTTGCAAAAGCATTTTATGTGTAGTGAATCCAATGAAACCAGTCAAAAGGAGTCACCATTCAACTCTTTTTCTCTCTTTCTTCTTTTCTTCTTCTTCTTCTCCCCCCCCCCCTCCTTTTGTTTTGTCAGATGTGGATACTAATTCACCCTAATTTACTGCGCCAATCAATTCATATATTAACCCCGTGATATCAGTGAGCGTTATTTGTGCGTCTTATCCTCGGTCTGCAGTTGTGTCAGAAGTATCGGGTTATACAATTCTATCGACTGTCGGGTATTGAAGTAGAGGCGGAGACATGGACTTCACTAGTGTCGCTAAGTCATTATGGTAGAGTATGACGAGATAAATCAATTATAATGTCACACAGAGGATTCATAGATTAAAAAATGAGTAAGATCCAATAGTGGAATTGACCACATAAAGGGTGTTTGCAGTTTTTTTTTTTTTTTTTTTTTTTTTTTTTTTCAATTTTGCTTGCAAGATTTGATGTATAAGAACAAAAAGATTTTTGACAGGCTTTTTATTCAAGAATTGTAGAATTATTTTAGTAATGTATTTTATTGAAATTCTTGCTGGAACTTCTAAAATCAATCCATTAAGTCTTGAAAGAAAGATTCTAAAACAATGTGAATGACTTGAGTAGGATTAAGAAATCTATAATTTTAATCTCATTTTTTAGTAATTTTTTATATAACAAAAAAAAAAAAAATAGAATTATAATTTTATGGTTTGGAGAAAACACATTTAAGATTGGACAACAAAATCCAAGCATTTGGAGTTTTTGTACTTAAGTATTTAGAAAGCCTTTGGGGCACAATCTAGGTTTCATTACACAACTATAATTGGTGTTTTTGTTTAGCTTAAGAACAAGCAACCTACAATTAATTAGAATATTGTTATTTTTGATTTTTAAATTTTTTTTAGAATTTCAAAGTAGTAATTAATGTTATGGTGACATACAATGAATAAGCTAGGATAATGTTGGTGGCATGAAGATGGCTCTCACATGTGAAGGTTTTATCATTCAAGTTATAAGTTTTAACCTATGCATAGACATAACATTCAAACACTAGATTATTGTCTTTTACAATTTCTATTGCCAACATTACTACCTACACACAACCAAACTTTCTCTAAGTGAGTTTTTTTTTTTTTTTTTTTTTTTTTTTTTTTTTGGTGTTTCTAGAATCTATGCAAGGTTATTCATTTGCACCAAATCATATGAAATTATAATAGATACAGAGCTAGTGAAAAAAGTAGCCAAATTGTGCCAAAACACTATAATTGCTTGTTTTATAGGGAAAATAGTAGAAGCTTTCGATCTCAAAGTTTGAAAAGAAGAACTTGAATAATTAGTGCAAGGTACTATCTTTATCAAAAAAATCTTTGTTGAGGCTATCTTTATTTAAAACCTCTTTTAAAGAAATTATTCAATAGCTTTTAATTCAATTGTCATAGAGATTGAATCTTAATAATTATATATTTCAATCTTGGGATCCAAATTTTGATTCATACCCAATTCAAAATCTAAAAGATATCTTTTATTTGGATTCATTCAAGATCCTAACTTAACTTATGCTAAAAAATTCTTTTAAAGATTCATTAAAATAATTTCTTATTATAATTCAATAGATTGCAATTGGGCTAGAAAACATTCTAAAATATGGTTTAGATAATAAAAATTTAGTAAAGCTACATTTTTGCATTCCAATGGATTTGAAAATTGAATAGAAGTTTGAAATGAAGATGAATAATCTAGAGACTAATATCAAAAATCTATATTTATCAATTATTTGAACCTACCAATATGTGAATTTTGTTTAGATACTAACTATAGAATTAAAGATTGCTATTTTTTGGCAAAGACAAAGGCTTGGCAAAGATCAAAATTGATTAAAGATGTCCAAAGTCTTTGTGAAAGAGGAACAACTTTAAGGTTCTAATGGACAAGTTAAATATTTATGTAAATATATTAATTATTTCATCTTAGAGCATGTATATAATTATAGTTGTTAGTACAAATCCTTTTATTTTTGTTTGATATAAGAAAAAGAAGGCTAGATAAGGTGCAACTAGATCCATATACAAAGCAAAACATAATTCTACTAATGAAGCCAATCCTAATTTTATTGCAACTTTAATTGCTATGGATGATTTAATAATTAATTAATCCTAATTTTTAAATTGAACCCAATGGAACAAGTCATTGGAATAGTCATCACAATTTATATCACACATAGCCTCAAACTCCCTCAAAATGACTTCTATCTTAGAAGTAATAGAAAAATAGAGAAACCTATTGGACATTGATTACAATAGTATGAATTTTTGTACTTTTTGAGCTTATGCTTCCATTTCACAAGTAGCATGGAGAATGCAAATTGAAGTTTAATAGCCTTAGGAGTACAAGACTTCAATCAAATCTTTGTAAATACTTTATAGTATCTTATTAAATTTCTTGTAGAAATAGAATTCTTAAGGTTCTTGATTGATATATTTCTCAATTATACCAAGTCTTAAACAATATGATACATATCATATTAAAACCACCAAGCTTGGAAATTTTGCAACCTTAGGATATTAGACCAATTGAGATATTAGATACCTTTTGTATCACAACTTGGAAATACATTTTGTAATGTGAAAATTAATCTGAGAATGCACTAGACATCTATTATAGATTATTTTTATTTTTATTTTTATTTTTTTTAAAACTTTAGATACACAACTCAAAAACAATTCATAATATATTTAATTTTTTTTTTGAGAATCTTAAGCAATCTAGAAAAACTTCCAATTATACTAACTACACCTTATTAACCTTAAAAAAATCCTAGAAAATCTTATTACATACTAATCAACTCAAAATAAAACTTAAATAATCTTTAACAACCATAATTAAATCCTAAGTATATTCTAAAAAAAATAAAAAAATAAAAAAAATCCTAAGTAAATCCTATTAAAATCCTAAAAGTACCTTAAGTAGTTATAATAAAATCTTAAACTAGCTATAATCAAATTCTATATTAAATTTAAAATCTAAATAAATATTCCATTTAAATTTTTATTTTAATTCAAAATTTATTTTCTTCTCAATCTACTACTTGACAATAAGTATACAAAATTTAAAACAAACTAAACTTACAAATAGAGAAAAAAAAGTTCCTAATCTGCTTGGATATTAGCTATCTTCTTTCTCCAACTTTGATGTCAATCTTCTAGCATCAATAGTTTTTTTTTTTTTTTTTTTTTTTTTTTTTTTTTAATTTCTAATTTTTAAAATAAATTTCATAAATTAACTTTAATATTGACTTATTAAAAATAAAATTCAATACAATAGATAAATTATTCAAAATTATAAAATCTCTAGTAACTCTCAAAATATAATTTTTGAGATGCCAATTTACTTAAATTTTAATAATATTTTATTTAATTATTTAATTGAATTGAATTTCTCATTGAGCATTCACAATAACTACTTTTATAAGGATTTTTTTTGATTTGTAAATTGACTATAAAAATCAAAATATTTTAGCAAAATGTAACTTCTTTTATATTCTACAAAAAGAGAGTTATTCAAAAATACCTTGACTTTGCAAAGCTTTCACAAAGTAGTTTTCTACTTAAACCCTTAAAAAGTAATACTTAAAAAAAATTCTATTAAGTTTCTTCTCCAATCCTACTTTTTAATCATTATAACAATCTTACATTTATTGTTAATGTGCAATTTTGTGCCTTGAGGTTTAGTTTCAATCCTAGTTCACAACCAATTCTCTTTAGATATTAATCAAAGATTTTTTTAGATAATTTTTGTTGAAAAATATTCTTCACTTTTGCCATAAGATACTATAATATTATTTTTTAATCTACATTTTTTTTGTAATTTATATACTTTTATAAAATAAATAAAAGATTTTTTATAAAATATTAATAATAAATTATTTTAAACAATCTTCATAATTTTTATGAATATTTTTTATATTAATTTATTACTATATTTTTAATTAAATTCTTTTATAAATATAATATTTTTTTTTCTTATTTTATCTAATAGTTGTATTACAATATAACAACATGGTGTCAAGGATAAGAACTCGATGAAAAAAGTAATTCAGACAAGTGAGCCTTCACTCAAAGAAAAGTAACAAAATATAAATAATCAAGTATGTATATTGAAAGAGAAACTAGAATGGCTATTGCCAAAAGACAAGAAAACTAGAGATCCTTGAAACTAGACTAGAAGCAAGAAAGGAGTTGACAAGAGTGAAGAGGGCTTCACTCTTGTCTCTATATATACTATCTAACTAGGGGCTATGTCGCGACATTCTATAGGACCTTCAATATGTGTTGACTTTGTAGGACACATGCCTTGACTTACAAGGCAAGTTTTTCTATGTGTGGGCTACCAAGTTAGCTTGATCTTCAAGCTAACAACATGTGTGGCACATGGCCAACTTGTTGACTACATTTTTAATCCAAAAAGACAATTAAAGACACCTATGAAGTCAAAGCAGCGTCTATAAAGCTTCTAGGAAGCTTTTATATTAAATACTATAGAATTAACTTACTTTTACCTATTTTTACTTACTTCCACCTATTTGTATATGTAATTAGTAGCTTACATGAGTATGTCCGTGACATTACCTCCCTTCTAGAGACGAGTTCCACGAGGAGCGGTCATCATATGTTGAGGAAATCTATGATGTGACGAATTGTATTTGCCACATACTGTGATCTTTGTTCTCTTCGAAGATGATTGATAGGGCCTCTCAATCATTGGTAGTGTCCCATACCAGGGCCAAAAGACCACCTAGTTATTTGATCATTGTTGAGGCCTTCATAACTTCATTCAAATAGAACATTTGGAACACCATCAGGAGTTGTTCCTACCTCTAGCAAAATCACCAAACATCGGGAATCTCTTCCCAAATTGTGATACCAAACACGTTGTATCTTGCCATCTATTCGAGGAAGAACATGTCGTTCTTGAAGATCTTCATCTCGATTGCATCATCTTGAAGGTTGTGACAATCGTAATGTCTCGTCTGGTAGGTCAACAAATGAAGGCTCTTGAGTCG